ACAGATGTTACTGTGTTAAAGAAGATGTGCTGTTCAGATCTAGAAGTGCTCTTCATTAACTGCAAGCCGTTCTATTTGCCGCGGGAGTTTTGCTCATTCATTCTCGTCAGTGTGTACATTCCTCCGCAAGCTCACGTGAGCTCCGCTTTACAGAAACTTGCTGATCAGATCACAGACACAGAACAGCAACACACTGACTCTGTTTTAATCATTCTCGGGGACTTTAATAAAGCAAATCTCTCCCGTGAACTGCCAAAATACAGACAGCACATCACATGTCCCACCAGAGATATATTGGATCACTGTTACACCACAATAAAGAATCCATATCACTCTGTTCCACGGGCAGCTTTGGGGCTCTCTGATCACTGTTTGGTTCATCTTATACCGACCTTATACCGAAACTGAAATCAGCTAAACCTCTATTAAGGACTGTAAAAAGATGGACTAATGAAGCGGAGCAGGATTTAAAAACTTATTTTGACCTCACTGATTGGAGTGTTTTTGAAGCTGCTGCCACAGATCTGGACAAGCTCACAGAAACTGTAACATCTTATATCAGTTTCTGTGAAGATATGTGCATTCCTACCAGGACTCATTTAACCTACAACAACGACAAACCATGGTTCACTGCAAAACTCAGACAGCTCTGTCAGGCCAAAGAAGGTGCTTACAAGAAGGGGGAAAATGTCTTGTATAAACAGGCTAAATACACACTGGAAAAGGAGATCAGAGTGGCAAAGAAGAATTATTCTGAAAAAATAAGGATTCAATTATCTTCCAGTGACTCGGCATCAGTGTGGAAAAGTCTGAAAGAAATCACCAACTACAAGACACCATCCCCCAGCACTGTGGAGAATCAACAACTGGCAGACAGATATATATATATATGTGTATATATATATATATATATATATATATATATATATATATATACTGTATATATTTTTTGATTATTCTGATGTTTTGCTGGACATTGTAGTCGGGGGAGCTGCGGTGCTGGTCAAGCATTTCAGGACGCGCAGACAGAGGAAGCGAGCCGGCGCCCTCGTGAAGCTCAGACAGCGCGGATTCAGAATGCCATTGCCTAGCATCCATCTGGCGAACCTCCGCTCTCTACCCAACAAAACGGACGAACTCCTTCTGCTCTCCCGGACAAATAAGGATTTTTCAAACTCTGCTGCTCTGTTATTCACGGAAACCTGGCTGAAAGACGCCAATCAACGGGGAAATCACGCGGCGGCGGGACATGCTTTTACATCAATGAGAGGTGGTGTACAGATGTTACTGTGTTAAAGAAGATGTGCTGTTCAGATCTAGAAGTGCTCTTCATTAACTGCAAGCCGTTCTATTTGCCGCGGGAGTTTTGCTCATTCATTCTCGTCAGTGTGTACATTCCTCCGCAAGCTCACGTGAGCTCCGCTTTACAGAAACTTGCTGATCAGATCACAGACACAGAACAGCAACACACTGACTCTGTTTTAATCATTCTCGGGGACTTTAATAAAGCAAATCTCTCCCGTGAACTGCCAAAATACAGACAGCACATCACATGTCCCACCAGAGATATATTGGATCACTGTTACACCACAATAAAGAATCCATATCACTCTGTTCCACGGGCAGCTTTGGGGCTCTCTGATCACTGTTTGGTTCATCTTATACCGACCTTATACCGAAACTGAAATCAGCTAAACCTCTATTAAGGACTGTAAAAAGATGGACTAATGAAGCGGAGCAGGATTTAAAAACTTATTTTGACCTCACTGATTGGAGTGTTTTTGAAGCTGCTGCCACAGATCTGGACACATAGACTCCATTGTTAAAAAGGCCCAGCAGAGGTTGTACTTCCTTCGCCAGCTGAGGAAGTTCAACCTGTCACAGGAGCTGCTGAAACAGTTCTACTTCGCCATCATTGAATCTGTCCTCTGCACTTCTATAACTGTCTGGTTCAGCTCAGCTACCAAATCTGACCTCAGAAGACTACAGAGGGTAGTCCGGACTGCTGAGCGAATCATTGGTACAACCCTCTCTTCTCTCCAAGAACTGTACTCATCCAGAGTGAGCAAAAAGGCTGACAAAATCACTCTGGACCCCTCACATCCAGCACACTCCCTCTTTGAACTGTTGCCATCTGGTCGACGCTACAGAGCTCTGGGCACCAGAACGGCCAGACACAGGAACAGTTTCTATCCTCAGGCCATCCATCTCATGAACACCTGACAATAACTATGGAACACACATTTACTCACTCATACACTTATTTATCTAACACACTGTGACGAGAGGGGTGGGGCCGAGAGCCGTGGGAACGGGGCGAGGCCGGTGAAGTAATTGATAATGAGCGACACCTGCACCACTCACCGGTCTCGAGTCTCACAGAGGAGCTCCGGAAGGATAAAAAGGAGTGACGACAGTGAAAGACGAGAGAGGACCAGGCCTGGAGTTTATTTTGTGTTTTGGTTTTGTTTGTCCGCGAGGGGCTGTCGCGCTATTTTGTGTTTGTTATTTTATTATTAAAATCGTAAATGTTCGCCGGTTCCCGCCTCCTTTTTCCCGAACTATGATCTTTGTTACACACACATACTCAGTCTACATTTCAATTTGCATATAATATACCTGTACATACAACTGTCTATTGTTATATACCTGTACATACAATTGTCGATTTGTATATTTTTATTCCTTATTTACTTGTTCTATTTTTTTTTTTTTATATATATTTTGTTATCTGTGTTTTTTTGTTCTGTCACTGTCATTCTGTTACACTGTGGAAGCTTCTGTCACGAAAACAAATTCCTCGTATGTGTAAACATACCTGGCAATAAAGCTCATTCTGATTCTGATATATATTAATTTATTATTATTATTATTATTATTATTGGATCAAAAATACTACTGTAAAGCAGATTAATTAATATAGGATCTCCTTTTGTATAAAATGCTTAAAAATTATTATTTTTATTATATTTTTACTATTTAAAAAGATCTATATTGTTTGGTATATTGTTTTTAAAGTGTATTTTGCATGCAATTAAGTGGTTTTTCATTGAAAGAAGTCATGTTTGGATTGTTTTAATGAAATTCTGTGACAATTTATTAACAAGACAATAGGGTGTAAACAGGGCCAATATTCGCTCAGCCTGAGACATATGTTGAAAGCAAACACACAAATGGCAAGCTCAGTTCTTGGCTGAGATGCAGCAGCGGCGGGCCAAGACTGACATGTTTCCTCTCATCATTTCGAGCTGGCCTTGTTAATATATGTAGGGTGGACAGGCTGGACTGTGTCTGCATTGGTATGCATGCTCTTAGTTATTCATAATGGGATAATTGGCGTGCTCTTCTGTGTCTCCCATTACTAGGCAGCTAGATGTGCTGATAGGTCAGAATGAGGATCAGAGTCCATAAGCAGCTATTTGCCATGCTAATTTCCTCCCATAGAGTGATTGTATTTAAGAGAACAACGTAAAATGAGATGCTTGTAGCCTAAATAAAGTTTATTTTGTCGTGAAGGAGAGATTATATTCCTCTTCTGATTAGTCATTGACTGACATATGACCTAATGACATGAGATAAATCTTGACCTCTAACCTATTCAGTTCTCTTAAAATTCACCTCAATGGTTGGCTGAAGAATCATGAAAAGATGTCAATGTTTCTATCTTTGCTGTGCTAATGGAGAAAGACTGTAGCTTGACTTTCCGACTCTGATAGTAAAAATGTTTAAAACTACTTTCATTATCTCCCATGAAACCACTTGGGGTCTTTAAAAAGATAAAAGAGTGTTTTATGCCAGAGACCAGAGACAAAACTCATGTGTAGAATTTTTAGTTTTACCTTAGTTTGTTATATAAAGATACTTCGTTCTGGCCTCATTCTAAGACATAATGCATTGAGACAAGCTCAAAATAAGTACAGTTTGGTCAATTATAGGTAGATAGATAGATTATTGTGTATAGATAGTATTGTGTTTAGTTTAGTTTAATTTGGTTTAGTTTCCTCAAAGGCAATTGCCATAAGTTAGAAATTGTCTCCTTGTAAGAAACAGTGGGAAGCTTTTTCAACTTGCTTTTGAAACTGTAGTTAAGCATATAATATGGTGCTTGTACAGCAGGTATTGCAAATGAATAATTAACAGGTTCTATACCATTTTAATTTAAACTGGGCCTGCCGATACTTGGTAAAGAGTGCAGAAAATTGAATCATCCATGTGCAGATAAAAATCACTGAGATTCTCCATCTTAATTAGAGGCGCTCTCAAACACAATTCATGTGCATCCACATTCACACAGAAAAGAATCAACCCCCCCCCACCTCTCTCCTCCATTTGTTGTCTATTCGTTCAAGTAGCTTTCTTTTATACACACCGCAGCTCGCTTCTCGGGAACACTTCACCTGTTCGTTTTCCTTTAGTCTTTACCTTTGTGCTGTTGTTTTGTTAGCAAGTTTGAATGTTTATGAAAGATTGCCGTCCTGATTGGGAAGGTCTGCCAGTCCTCTAACCTCGGCATCCAATTCATCATGTTGTTTGAGCTGTAGTTCCTCTGTGTGAGCCGAGGTCTTTGATGGGAGTCTTTCGGCTTTCAGAGACCTCTGCTCTGCGTACTCCTTTAGCATGAGAGATGTGCCCTGAAAAAGAATTGATAGATCAGCCAGGATGTGCGTGGATATTATTACCTAATTCCAGATGGCCGTTCTGATGGCAACAAATGGCCTTGCCGTACCAACCCCACTGAGATGAAAACATTAGACGTGCGAGTACAAATTTCTCCTGGCACAGCCGCAGAAATGAAATTAAGCGGATCTTTGATGCACAAACAATGAGCACTTGACGAATAACTCAGCTCGAACCTTCATTACCCCAGCACCCTTGGATTTGGAGTGAATTCGCCAGAGTTGCCGTGACCTTGGCATGACATTAAACAGCGTAGGGGAAATGGAACAGGGTTACGAGGGCCGTGGCCTGACTGACTGTGCTTATGCCGTGTTGCTCCACAGGAGGTGATGCAGATGGAAAGACAGCTGGGAGGTCGACTGATTGACGAGCCTCACGTCCTGCTCTTCAAAGACAGCTACCATAACCTGCGCCTCTCGATTCACGACATGCCCCAGGCACACTGGAGGAGCAAACTTCTCGCCAGCTATCAGGTGGGTTTCTATAAAACACCTTCTCTCTTGCAGCAGCACTTCTTGTATTAATGGTGTTTGCTACAGTGAACTCCTCTATAGTTAGCGCTAATACTTCGGATTATCGGTTTTCCAAAACCCATAACCTCAAATATTAAATGTATTAAACATTAAATATAAAAAAGGCCTGGAACATGATAAATATACTCTCAGAACAAAAGGTACTAATAATGTCACTGAGGTGAAACCCTTTCAAAATGAACACACTTACTTACAAAAAGTACATATTAGTACCTACATATAAGAGGGCTTTTCTATTTGAAACAGTTAAAGGTGGATTAGACAGTTTACTGTACGCACTACTAGTGTCACCAGAACTACAAATATAAAGCATGTTTTCAAATAACCTTTGCAAATATCCCTTTTAAGCGTCACGCCTCTGCCTCTTATGAGTCTATAAAAGTGGAGGTATGTCTCAACGGGTAAAAGTAGATGATTAGACTACTATTTTCAATAAAAGGTCCATCATACAATACTTTTAACTTCAAGTTTAGCTTACCTGTTGAGATCAAAGTTCGTCATATCAATTGAAACCAAAAACATTTAATCCGACCAAATGTCTGACTGATTGAATGCAATGATTGGACAAACATTTTATGGCCCTGTGCCTTTCACAGAAGATATATACATATACATGTCTATATATGTATATATATATACATATATAGACCACTTTATTGATGCCAGACCTTTTAACCAGTATAACAAAAATGTTTCTGTAAAAATTACCTACCATATCTTTAATCCTGGGTCATTATAAACCAAGGGAAAGCTGAATCCTTTCCCTTCATAATTTACCTGGGGGTTAAAAATTGATCATGCACTGTAAATGGGTTTTCTGTCACCATTTGACAAATTTAGCCTCATGACCGTTTATACAATGTACAGTTTTCTGTGACTGTCTAAAGCATGTGAACGGGAGGCATGCGATTGGCTGTCTGTTGCTAAGCATCTTGTCATAGCATTTTAACACCACATCGTTTCACACTGTGCATGTTTGGTACCACAATGTGGGGTTAACAGTGCAAAAGCAGTGCTAAGCCTGCTCTGGATGGTAAATAATAATACTTTTTGAAAGAGTACCCAATGACAGCTTTTGTACCTTTTTTACTTAGAGTGTAGGCAAATAAATTCATATTTAGAGAAACAATCGCTCAAAGTCCTAGCAACCACATAACGACACCCTAGCAACCGCCCAAATTGTTCTGGCATTGTGACAAGAAGTCAAGGGTAAAATAGCTGCAAAATGCTTCCCTCTGTTTGAAATTATTTGCCTCTATAACGTGTACTGCGGATGTTATGTTTGTCTTTTTGATCTTTGTTGTCAAAGTCTTTTCGAAGCGTAATTGAACGAGTTAAGAGTTAGTTAGCCAAGTTATTTTTTCTTGGGGGCAAATTTGAAGTGCTGTGCTCTGTGGCTGCTCTGAGCTTTCTAACCGGGTGTGTGATCTGGTATGTCCTCTGGATTGCTGTAATTGGAAATTTCTTTGGTTTCGCCTCATTAGAGTATTTCTGAACGTGCGGGAATGCTAAAGAAGCCCATTATAAAGTGAATTGGCGAGCAGGGACCCTAGAACGTCTGCTCTTAATAACATGCACGGCCTTGGCTACGAGTTAACGGCTTCTTGGGTAAAGAAGGATTGAGAGCGCTGCAGTTTTCTCAAACGTCTTCCTCACCCGCTCTGCCCATCTCAGGACTCTTTCCCACTGGAGGAGATTAAATATAGACCAATATGTAAATGCTCGAGGCTGCAACACCTGATTTTTCTCGTATTTCCCTTCCTGGATCATGTATGCTGGGCCTCAGAAGAACATCTCTGGATTCTGGAGGAATCTTGGCGTAAAAAGCTCCTCTGAGGATTTGGAGATGCCAGCTAACAGTGTTACAGCACAAATGTGCATAGAGGAAACATTTTCTCACCTGAACGTCCCCTATTTTTTAGATAAGTATGTTGCTTGGCTGTTTTTTTCAGTCTGTTTAACAGCTCCCCCATTTGAGTGAACTGAGGTACTGCATATTCACTAATAACACTGCCTTTTATTGATTTGCAGTTTGATTGGTTCATGATTGATGTGTAGTCTTAAATAACGTGCGCTTATCTTTGTTTTTTGTATTGCTCTTCACAATTAATTAGACGGTATGAGACGAGAGCATGTTATAAAACTAAATAATTAGTCTAATCAGACTGTCACGCTGAATGTGTTGTATTTGACAGACTAAATGTATTGTTTTAATAAGTGTTCTTATTTTATTTAACTGTGGATATGCTAGCATATCTGCTCTATCTACTGAATTGTGCTCGTTCATAAATTAAATCCAAATCCCCGGTTGTGAACAATTAGCTTTTAAAGACGTTCTACTGTTGTCAGAGACAAAGAAACTATTTTGCTGCTTCGTTTGAAAATGTTGCCAACAATAGATTTAGAAGAGCTTTCATAGACTCGCACCGGCAGCCACAGCATCATAAATCATCAGGTGTTGGACTTTTTCTTTGTCGGTGTCTCTTACTGACCATCAAATTCAGCTGGATCTATTGTTTGCAAGTGGTGAACTTTTAATGAAAAGGAAGCGGTGTATTATCTACCAAGTGACAGAATTCTTCTCTTTAGTTTATTTATGTCACGTGCAAAGTTTGCCAAAGGTTGCCAAAATGAGGAAACTTTTGCATAATTCATGTGTTGAAAAAATGTAACTGCATTCTCTTACAGCACTGAAATGTGGAAATGCATAAATATTTCACTTTATATTTGTAGACTTTGGGGAAAATAAATTATGGGAAATAAATTATATGTAGTGTAAAAGTGTTACTCTAAAATACACTGCTACAGCCTAAAAAATGACTCATAATTTTTATTTTATTGCTGGTTGGACTTATGTTTTTGAAACAATCAGTTCTGACAAGAGTAGATTTCAGAAGTGATTTGTTATGGACAGCAACAATTCAGTGTGACATGTCTTTGGTCCTTTAGGAGATCCCATTCTATCACATCTGGAGCGGCTCTCAGCGGACCCTGCACTGCACCTTCACACTGGAGAGACAGAGCCTGAGCACCTGTGATCTCACCTGCACGCTGTGTGTGTGGCAGGTAGAAGGAGAAGGACAAAGCTTCACCCTGGACTTCAACATCTCGAAGGTAACTGAGACCATCTGCAGTATGACATGCCAGTAAACAGTAGAGATTCAAAGCTCCTTCTGTGAGAATTGGAATTTGGAATTGAAATGATTTGATGTTGTATTATGAGATTCTTACACCTAAGATTCTTTTTTGACATTATCCAAAACCTTGGTCAGTTGATTTGGATTTAGAACAGAATTGAAATAGATTTTTTTAAGTTAAAATGTTGAAAATGTAACTAAATTGAATAGACTTGATACTGTGGTAGAGTTGTGCTCATAAGTTTACATAGCCCTTGCAGAATGTGCAAAATGTTAATAATTGAAACGAAATAATAGGGATCATGAAAATTGCATGTTATTTTTTATTTAGTACTGTCCTGAATAAGCTATTTCACATAACAGATGTTTACATATACGTACTCCACTAGACAAAATAATAACTGAATTTATAAAAATAACCCCATTCGAAGGTTTACATACCCTTGAATCGTAATACTATGTGTCATTTCATGGATGATCCACAACTGTTTTTATATTTTGTGATAGTTGTTCCTTGTTTGTCCTGAGCAGTTCAACTGCCTGCTGTTCTTCAGAAAAATCCCCCAGCTCCTGCACATTCTTTGGTTTTCCAGCAGCATCTGCATATTTGAAGCCTTTCCAACATTGACTGTATGATTTTGAAATCCATCTTTTAACACTGATGACAATTGAGGGACTCGTGCATAACAAATTCAAATTAGATTTTGAATTTAAACAAAAGGTGGAAACATGTACTGATGCTCAAGAAGGCCACACAATGCATTAAGAGCTGGGGGGTGTAAACTTTTTTTAATTGGAGGATCAGGGTAAATTGTACTTATGTCTTCTGGGAAACATGTAAGTATTTATGTAGCTTCTGAAGTCCAGTACTAAATGAAAAAATATGATCGTTAAACAAAATGAGAAGAATTTACACCATGCAATTTTCATGATCCCTCTTAGTTTGTTTCAATTATTAACATTTTTACACATTCTGCAAAGGGTATGTAAACTAATGAGCAGAACTGTATATTAATTTTATATTATAATTAGAATTTGGAGTTTTAATGTGAACTGAATGTGAATTGAAATGTAGTCTACACATGCATATTTTTAATATTTCTCAAAAACTTTTGAATGTCTCATACTACTAACTATTTTCCAAACCGATTCTGCTACAAACAATTAGATTTTGAATTTGGTTTATAATAAGAATTGAAAATGATTTGGGAATTTAAATTTCACTTAAATTTAAATTATTAGTTGGAATTTCAATGTCACTTAAATTCCAATTAGTTCATTTAAAATATAAATGAGCACACAGAAATGTATTTTCTTCTTCTTCTTTTTTTAAATATTATCCGAAATCTAGCTCGGCTAACTTGGATTCATTCATTCATTCATTCATTCATTTCAATAAATGTAATAGACTTGGTACGGTGGTACGCATGCAGAATGTTTATGAATTACAGTCAGAATTTGGAATTGAATGTGAACCGAATGTGAATTGAACTGTAGTCTACTCATGCATCTTTTAACCATTTCTCATAAACCTTTTGAATTCAGTTCAATTTAATTCTCACATTCTGTTAAATTATTTTCCAAATTTACTCGCATGCAAATGCAGATCTTCTCCATATATCTTCAGATTAAAGTCTCTGTGCAGTTGGAATGAGTAACATATGAGGCTGAAATGTTCTTGACTCCAGGACATCAGACCACTGGACTCTGATTTCCTGTTAATGGACAACTGCACCCCTGCCCTGGCTGGTCCGAGCGCATTCCAGATCCCTTACCTCATCCGACAGAAGATCTGCAGCAGTCTGGACACCCCCTGTCCCAATGGAGCAGATTGGAGACTACTGGGCCAGAGACTGAAGCTTGACAGGTAAGATCTCTCAATGCTAGAAGTTATTATCTCTTAGGTCTGGAATGGATCCTGTTGAACAAAATCTCAGGATTCTTGTTGTGGGTTGAGGAAACTGTTGTTTTGCAGAGTGCTGATATCTAGAGCAGATTGTGCGGTTCTCCACTTGCATATTAAATATAAACTTCCACAGGAAATTACAAGGCAGTGATTTAATTACTGTCCCATTGAACTTCCTCCAGGTAATGGAACATAATGGGCAGACTTCATTTGTCCAATAATGTTTACTTGCTCCAATTAATTACAATTTGAAGTGTTGTGGTGTGTGTTCAATTAGCACACTAGCCCAAAACGATCGATTGTCATTTACCTAGTTAAGGAAAAGCACAGAATCCACACAGGTGGAAATGTGCTTAACGTTTTTTTTTTTACTGAAAACACTGTCCTCAGAAAATGTTTTAAGATTTGAAAGCAGCACTAATAGTGAATACAACCCCGACTGTAAACCTTTTCTCACTGAGAACAGAGAGCATGTAGAAAACAACACTTAAAGCCCCAGGCATTTGAGGTACAGAAAAAGGCCGTTAGATCGAACAACCCACTTCAGCTTCCTTCGGGAGATGCATCTCGCAACATCTAATACGCTGCAAAAAGGGATTGCTTTGTTCTTATTGATCAGCTTTGATCTGAAAGGTTCAGCCTGGTCAATGGAAAAGGTCACATGCAACCTGGGTTTTACCCTTTTAGAGGACTGAGACCCAGAGTAGATAATTCATCAAATGAAAATGCAGGGCTGCTTTAGTTCAGGAGTTAACAAAAGGGTGTAAAGCACATGTTCGGAAGAACTGAGCGTTCGTGCATTGGTTTAGTATATTGGAGTGAATAATACTGTTTTATAATTATACATGGATTTTCTACTCTCGCTTTGAATGGAGTGCCAGAGAGGTTGATGTATTGGTTTAAGATAAGCTTCTTGATGTTTTATTTCATTTCAGGGAGTAATAACTTATGACTCTCCTGCAATCCTGATTTACTTCTCACAGTGAAACAAACCATGCATTTTGAAACATATTCATTGCATTTCTAATATAGTTTATTTATTGTATCTGGTTATAAAGGAAAAACATAAGACTATAACTGAGAGAATCTCACTGAAAATGAATGTTCCATCCAAGAAAACTTCATCGACACTCAGCAGCTGTCGTATTTTTCTAAATTCCTCCATCACACATGTGCTTTGTTTCTGCATAACTGTCAGACCCTGTAGAACGGCAACACGTCTCAGCCCTGCGTTTGGCGCCATGAATGTGCATTACACAGTTTGAAGATTGTCAGATTATTTTTTCGTGCGTGTTTGAATGTGAGAGTATTTCATTCCAAATGAAGGATGATTGGTGAGAAATTGTGGATCACAAATTGGCCGTTTTCATCTCGACCAGTAATGACGGCCACGTCTGGAGATGATTGGAGGAGTCCTGCACGTTCTCTCCACAGCAAGTGGAATTACACAGGCCTGTTTCACTCAGCTAACAGAGAACTCAAGTTAAAGGCCAAATTGTGCACACAATGTCTTTTTTACCTTCCTTAAGGTTTCACTTGGTGATTTCTGTTACACAATTAACCAGTCAGCTATTTTCTTTTCTTTGTTTTTATTACAAAAGTCGTCATGTCTTGTAGATAAGTGCATTTCATGTGACGCATCTCTGCGCAACCAAAGTGTACGAGCCATCTGGAGCATTGCTTTCATATCTATGCCGATTGTGATTTAATTTTTTGGGAGTACACGTAGTAACATGTTCCTACATTCAACATACATCTATTTTTCTTTCAGGATCTCATGACTTGTGCAAACTTGTTCATTTTGAGCATTTCACTGGTAAAACAATTTAAATATACAGCACTTTGTAAAGTAATTGTAAATTAAATTTTAATAACAAGCCAAAAAAGACAAGTCAACTGACGTAACATTTGTTGAAGTATAACCTGTGAAGTGTTTGCCTACTGTTCATTGGTTATATAGCACTAAGTTCATTCTTTCTGCAGTGTTTGCGGTTTAGACTGTTTTCGCCATAAGTTTGTACACCGTCGTTTTGTTTCGTCCTGAGGCTGTTGGTTTATGGGTAATCGATCCTCAATACTACATCATGAGAAAACAGATGCACCAGTAAATGATACTTCTGTCAGAGTATTTAGACAAGGACTTGGTGCAAAATTGACAAATTCCTTACACTCAGGTTTACAAACAGTTCAGTTGAAACAGACACGTTACGCATTTCTAAACATTACTGAGTGCGCAACGGATTGCTCATCAATGTTGTTCTTTTTCACTGACATAAAAATCATTCGTTCTGAGCTCACAAAGTCAGCTTGTAACACTGAATAAAGCAGATGCCATGATATTCACTAAAAGAACCACCGATCTCTCTTTATGACTACATTTTGTCAGCCTCATTCATAGCTGTTCTGTGTAAATGAATGTGTGAGTGTGCTATTTCTTTCTTTTTGAACTGAAAACCGTAGAATTGTGTACCTGTGAATGTTCAATTCGATTTCTTAATTCAATGTTCCTTGCCTTTCTGCAAGTCAAAATGCTGTATTTATTACATGCCACAGCGCTTATGCAATTGTACAATTCTTTTCTATTATTCTTTTTTTTTGGTAAAGTTACTTTTCATTTTTTTCGTCAATGTAAATTGTCGTCGATGAGTTTGTGGTAATAGAAAGCCCTCTTCTGCAGAAGGTTTTCTGTACTTTTTGGACAATGGTATGGATTTGTGGGTAGAATTTTGGAAATTCGTTTCTAAGTGCTTTCAAGTATTTACTTGGCCTTATGTATATATCTCTCTATGAAATTTCAGAAAAGGTATGTATAGTAATTGAACCTAAAATGGATGTAAATAAATTATATATTGTTAAAAGAGAGTTGAGTGATTTGTGCTCGCAACATCTACAATATTTCATGACACATTTTACATTGAGTCAATTAGTAGCCTCGGGAATAACCCAATTTCACCACGTTTCGCATCTTTCAGTAAGTCAGCACACAACAACATGACTGCAGGTGATTTATTGACTAAATGTCTCTAGCACAATTTCTTTCTAAATAATTTGCGTCATCTGACATAGAAAACCTCTATAATATGCACAGGAATACAGCAGTTTATCATTCTGAATGGCACACACAATAGTTAAAGGCTGCAAAGCGATAAAAAAAGGCACTTGATAATTGATACGTAACACGTTGTCAATACAAAAAAGTACAAAAAGTGAGCTGTTGGCTCAAATATATATAGCTTTCTAAGAGCTGGATATTGGATTGTTGCATTTCTTCTGATTCGAGTGCAGGAGATTGGTGCATCTGGTATGTAGTCTCTGAAGAAGAGCCATTATGTTTGGAAATGCCACAAGATTATGCATATATCGGTGATATCCATAAACAGGATTGCTCAAAACCTTTGGCACACATGCGCTTTGCTCACTAGCTTGCGGAAACCACCAAAATGGCCACAGAGCTTTAAATAACACAGCATATACGAACAAAGACTCTAAGTGAATCTGGCCATATAATATTGCAGGATCCATTAGCACTAATGCAGAGCGTTTTTATGGTATCACAGGCCTTTCCTTAATTAGAACTACCTGTCTGATTAGAACAGATGAATGTGGCGTATTTAGTACTGAAGCCATGTAGAGACCATTGCTTGGGTCAGGATGAAACGCATGCAATCAGTGCTAATGTATTTCAGTGTAGCTGCCAGGGGCGTTTTATTCCTCTGTGGTTTGCCATTACCTTAAGTACCCTCGCACAGCAAATCAGGCAGAGTAAAAAAGTAGGCTGCACAGCATCTAGAGGATTGAAGGGCCACTTTAAGATCCTGTCTGAGTAGATCACATGCTCAATGCTTTAGCCTACAAAATGGATTTTATGGATCAGAATACAACTAGATTGCTTCACTTATTACATGGGAAATGCTTTGTCCGTATTTGTGACAAGAGTGGATAGAATTTTGGATGATAAATATGCATCCGAGTGCAGATGAGATGAGCAAATCTCACACACAAAAAAAAATTCATATTTTACAATAAAATTAAATCAAGAAAAATATTTTTCAGTATTTTTTTAGTGAAAATATTTTCATGCTAATCACATTTTATTTTTTTGTAATTCCCTTTATTTTTTTATTGGTGATATTTTACTATACATATTTATATTTATTTTTTTAATTTTTTTTAATAAAATCAGCATAAAGGCAGTACAACAAATACTATGACGTATAAATACAAATTTTTATTTATTTTTGCATTAGAGTAATTAGAATGGCATTTGGAGGGAAAATGTGCTCAGCTGTCAAGGAAAGTCACAAAAAAAAATCATATTCTTACATAAGGTTAAGCCATATTCTTTATGCAATATAAAATGTGGTGTAATGTGAACACGACATGTTCTGTGAGATTCACTCAGATGCCAAACTGACGAATATCTAAAAAGTGAAATTAAAGTGAGCAGTATAAGAGCGTACTATGTTCTTTGGATTGACGAATACTGCAGGTGTACTTTTGGAGGTGGAGTGGGATGAGGAGGGACAGCTAAAATACTTCATCCAAATAGCTTGTTATCCATTCCGACATCTGGCATCGGTGGTTGTAACAGTTCACAAGCTGCTTCCAGTTGAATGACTGGCATCGTAACACAGCAAAACTGAGGCCAGTCTGTCGGCTTACTATAGCAAGCTACCAAAAATTCAGGTCCGTGATTTGCTGAATGACACATACTTAGTAAATGCTGATCGAAGCTGCTATAACAGCCAGCGGAGCTACTATATCCATCACTCTGTCAGTCAGCCATATGTTACAGGCTTCAAGTAAAGTACTTGGTCTTGTTTGGCATAGCTATAGACCCCCCCCCCCCAGTCTCCGTTCTGGCCCCTCCTTGACGAACGGCTGGAGCCTCACACCGGAGAGAAAGCGTGACTTTTACATAGTGGCTTGTCCTTCTTTGAAAAGAACGTCTTCCCCTCCAGATTGATTTGACAGATCTGAGGAGATAAAAAAAGGAGGATTAAACCGTATCATCAATCATGACTGTTTAACAGCACTTTTCTACAGCTGTGATTCATCATTTGCTACTTGCTAGAAGCCAATAATATTATGGGGAGAAACATAAGCATTCCAGAGCGCATTTATAATTGGATACAAGTTTGGAGTGCAGGATGTGCCATTAACTGTTTTATATTTTTTATTTTTTGAATGAAATGGATACTTTCATTCAGCAAGGAATTGTGTGACACTAATGATGTATGTTTTTTATTATATATTTGAATGTGATAATTCCATTTTGAATAAATGCAGGGTTTTTTTTTATTTCTCTTCATTAAACAATCATGAAAAATAGTATCACTGGTTCCACAAAAGTACGATGCAGCACAACTGTTTTAAAGTGACACTGAAGACTGGAGTAATGGCTGCTGAAAACTTGGCTTTGTCATCACAGGAATAAAAGACATTTTAAAATACATACAAATATATTTAAACCATAATAATGTCCAACAATATTAGTGTTTTAATGTATTTTTTATCAGATACATGCAGCCTTAGTGAGCATAAGAGACTTTCAAAAACATTTTAAAAAATCTTACCAACACAAGCCTTTGAATGGTAGTAAATGCCTGTATTAATGCCTATCATGTGAATATAATTTATGGGGTATATTCACTGTTAATATCAGTGCATGTCAAAATTAAAGTAATTGCTATCTGGCACAGACTGCCAAGCTCTCAAAGAAGAGCTCCATTTTTGGAGACAAAGATTAAAGAGGTGAACTTAAATCAGTAGACAGGCGAGTAAAAGTACCACACAATTTTGCTATTTATTGTGTTCTTGTGTGCCGCTACGAGGGGCATGAATGAAAATTAATGAACTGCTTAAATTCCTAAAAAAATGAAATAAATGACAAGAGCTTATCCAGCATTTCCATAAGAGAAAATAAAATGGATGTCTTCGTTTATCTGGATTATAAATAAGAAAGAATATTCTAAAAGCTGTGAACCACATTAATTAAAGGCATTAATCCAGAGCATGCAAACATGGCCAGTGTATGCATTTTGAAGGGAAATGTCTAGGTTCTCAGAAGCTATGGGACCATTTCTTGATAGTGTTGTGTGGTGCAGAAAGTTTAAGATGGAGTTTCGGGACAGGTCCCAATGCATCAAAATGACTTACGGCACAGACAAAGCAAGTGTCATGCCAGCTGTAGCCCAGCGCCTCAAGGAAACGGTCTCCTGCATCAATCTTGAAGTCACAGCCATGGCATTTGGTACCAAACATCTTTTCATAGTCTGCAGAGAAAAACAAGCCAACCAAAACGGGCCTATTAAGACAGCGAGAAGGAAATGCTTGGTCAGAAACGAAGAGAACGAGACAAGAAAGAAACGGGTTATCGGAAGGAAAAAGAAAAGGGATTATATTTTCTCAGCCCTCACATGCTCGGTGTGTGATAACAGACACTGGTCCAGATTCTTACATCGATTGCCCTAGTTTTACCCATTACGGAAAACTTAAAAGTGGCAGGCTTTACGTCCCGTACGCAAGGTAAGTAGTTTAGAGCACAATCCTTTTAAGGTGCTGAGACTGCAGCAATTTTATCAACACTAGCTCTTCATTTCTAACAGAAACAGCTGCCCACTCGCTGCTGACACAAGACCAAAACTCTTCAAATCTGTAAAGCACCGGAACTGCAATGCAAGCCTATTTACATAATAAAGACATGCACTCCCTTCAGATAGCTTAATGTCTGTTTATGTAAGATTAGGGGCCCAACAAATGTGACAATGTGATTAAGTGCACTGCATAAATATAAATTAAACACAGAAGGTGGCTGAATTTAACAACTTTTTACCACTCAGGAAACTAAATGAATGAACAAGAACAGCTTAACATGGCAAATTTCATGACTGAATTCAAATCAATTTAATCTGATTCACAACTGTTCTCCTACCTGTTTGCTAACCTCTGACTAATTGGTCCTATAAAAGTGTCAAAATATCCAGAATAAAAGAACTACGGTAAGGGCCGTGGCCTAGTCTGTAGCACACAAATTCTGACACTTAGAGCTGTGGAGTTCATGTTTGCAAAACAGGTTTGAATCTAATGCTTCTCATTCTTCTTTTTTCTAAAGCTCACTAGTCCATTAAATGAAAGTGGCAAAAAGAAAATAAACACTGGCAAAACATGTTTCAATCTAATGTTACCCACTCCTCCCAATAACTTCTTATCATAATTCTCACTAGTCTCACTAGCAAAAAGAAAAGAAAAAAACAAATAAAATTCAATTCAATTAAAATGTTTGCAAAACAGGTTTGAATCCAATGCTTCCCACTCCTCCTTTCAACAATTTCCTGTCATAAACCTCACTATTCCCATAAATAAAAAGTAAGTTAAGTTAAAGTAAAAAAAAAAATAAAAATGGTGGCGCCAATAAGCCTCGACATATAACGCTGTTCCTGAGTCCTATGAAAAAAAAAAATGAAAAAAAAAATAAATGAAATGAAATAAAATGCATGTTCAAAGCAGGCTTGCAATGTTCTCGATGCCTTATTAAATTGTATTTCTTATCATTCCTATAAATGTAAGTGTCAAATAGGTTAGTAAAAAGTGGACTTTGAGGTGGGGTGCTTATATAGTCAACATGAGTTTGAATCGGTCTTCTGATCTAATTTGAATAAACAAAAAAGTGAAAAAAAGAAAAGAACAGTATTTATGGTTTCATTGAGCACTTTCTACCAATGGCGTATTTGAAGTAGATTCTCAAGCATAAAAGTTCTCAGCAAAGCTCCTAATCAATGTGCAGGGCCGGTATGGAGCAGGTTTGATGTGAAGTGGCAGCATTTGAATGATTAAACACTGCAGGAGCCCGCGCTCAGCTCTCGGCAGGGGCTGTCGATAAGATGTGCGGCCGGGCGTGCGAGAGGGGCCGCGGTCGCTCACCTCTCTCGCAGTAGGGCTCTCCCTCCTCCATGTAGAAGGCCTGGTTCCTGATGGGCATTTTGCAGGCAGCACACAGGAAGCACTGTACGTGGTAGGTCATCTTCAGGGCATGCATGATTTCCTGCGGAGAGGACAGAGGGGTGTGAGGAAGCCATGAATTCACACTTTGAAAATCAGTCCACTCTCACTCACACAAACACACTTTACACACTTAATACAATCAATATACAGCTTTTGTTTGTTTTGAGGTCATTTTGACGTACTGTCATATAATTATACTGTCGTAAAATTACCTTACATTGTATTTTGTTTCCCAGTTTTTGTATTATATTTAATGCATTATATTGATTAAATCCTAGCAACGCTTAATAATCATTTCTGTCAAGCCATTAATAAATATCAAATAATGCTTAACAAATCAGTTAATATTAATATTTACAACAATATATGACACATGAAAGAGTTTGCATATATATGCACACAAATGTGTGTGTGTACAAGTTAAATTCATATATTCATATGGCCCTTAAGCTGAATTTATTTGATTAAACAGTAGAATTTTATAGTATTATAAAGTTTTATGATTACCATTTATATATATTTAAAAAAATATTTATTTCTGTGATGGCAAAGCTGAATTTTCAGCAGCCATTACTCCAGTTTTCAATGTTACATGATAATATGTTGATGCTAAAGACATTTCTTAGTATTATCAATGTTAAAAACACGTGCTGCTTAAAATTGTTGTGAAAAACCATAATACATTTGTTCAGGGTTCTTTAAAGGGGTCATATGATGTTGCTAAAAAGAAAATTTTGTGTATTTGGTGTAATGAAATGTATTTATGCGGTTTAAGATAAAAAAAAAAAAACACATTTTCCACATACTGTACATTATTGTTTCTCCTCTATGCCCCGCCTTTTTGAAACGCATTGATTTTTATAAAGCTCATCGGTCTGAAAAGCGAGGTGTGCTCTGATTGGCCAGCTATCCAGAGCGTTGTGATTGGCCGAATACCTCAAGCATGTGACGGAAATGTTACGCCCCTTACCATACTGTGATGCCCTGTCCGGCCAGAGCGACAAGACATAAACATTAAAACCCATTATAACGAGGCATTTGTTGCATCCAGTGGGGACATAATTACGGATTATAATGACTTATACTGTCTTTTTACGCGTTGCGCTGCATCGTGCCGCGTAAACATAACACCATGTCTGCATTTGTGATCGGAGAAATGACAAACAACAAGCGCTACTCTACACTGCTCAAAACTCGCGTTTGAATCGTCAGTGGCAAATTCTTTATATATAAAAAAAAACGTACTTACAGTCTGAGAGTCAGAACAGCCGGCATTGTAGTCTACTCTACCAGGATCAGGAAACAGTCCTCCATAAAATGCGCTGGACACATCTGAATATTTGGGTTAAACTGTTCTGGAACAGTGTTGTAAATACAACTTAACCACTGATTTCTACTCGTGTCCTCTTTTGGAAGGACGTTTTCACAACGAAACGGCATCACACACCGCGGCCTTGAGTGAGCAGAGGCGGGCGGGCTTGAGAACGGCGCGGCCAGCGGATTCGACGAAGGAACGTCCGGAGGGCTTGCGGCAACCACATGTGACGACCCCGGGCTGGACTC